ATATTATAATATACTAATTATTTGATGCTCCTAGTTAAAAAAATATGCAGGACACAAATAATCCAATCATGTGTATAAAGAATTAACGATTTGAATGATCGCCTCAATAAATTAATTTAACAAAGAAATAGCAAAAATTGTAAAATGCTAAATGAGATGAGCCATAGCTTATTTGAAATTGCCTGTACTAATACTGTAAAAGCGATTTGTATGTATGGGTATTTAATTGTGAGAAAATTGTAATTAAAGTTTGGCGTTCGACCTGCGTATTGGTAATTGAATGGATTGAGGTGCACGGTTATACTTTTTCTTATCTGGTCAAAGAGTTCGAATCTCGTAATAATTTTTTTAATATCAATCATTTTTTTAATATAATAATTATATTTTATAATGTAATTAATTTTTCTTACACTTTTTTTAAGTAAAAATACTAACAATTGCACTTTTTGTTGTAACAATAAATAACAACAAAATAATAACAATAAATAACAACAAATATAAAGATATATTTAAATAATTTAATAATAACAACAAATAAAATTTCTTGAAGTTTTAATTATTTATTTGGACATTGGCGACCAATTTTGTAGATAAAAATCAATACAAAACATTTAAAATCTTTTTACAGTACATGTAACCTCCACTGAGATATGACTCATTCCATTTAGCGTTTTACAATTCTTGCCATTTCATTGTAAAAAACTCGAATGTTTTGTTTCGATTCATAGATATCGGTTAGAGTACATACGAAAGTCCATCGAACAAGATAAGGAACTCGCTTTGCTCGAGGAAGACGATAAATTTTACAAAAACTTTACATATTGTATACAAAAACACAAAGACGTCTTACGGTTAGTGTATATCTCTGCAAGATATATATGTACTTTAAAGAAAGAATGTACTTTAATAAGACATAATTATCAAACTCTTTCATTAAACAAGATTCGCGAGGTACTTGGATGCTATTTACACAAAAGCTTTGTTTTTCGAAGTCGGTTTAATCATATTGGCGATGAGTATGTCAGCTCTACAGGTTTGTGTTTGATATATAGTAATAATATTAAATACAATATTTTGAATAATATTGCTGCGCCCGTGAGGTCGATTCGTGAGATCATTCTCATGAACGCGTACACGCATTCCCGAAGCGCCGAAATAAAAAACAAATGTACAAAAAGGAACAAGAAACGCTTATTAATACGAGGATGCAGAACACAGCAAATAAAAAATGATAGAGCATTTAGAGAGATTGACGGGTTTACATCCAAATCTGAAGATCTTGTTTGACAGTTGAACGGTTAATTGTTCGGCAACACACTCACTTCTATACACCCCGGATGTCGAATCGGAAAGGCACGAGCGAACTATATCAATATATACTATAATAATGTAACATATAGTATACACGATTTTGTGAACATTTAGGCAACTAGTGGAACCCTCAACCCACCTCTTGCAATCCGGCATGCCTCATACATTACCGCTCAATTACTACATTTATATATCGTGTGCTGGTTAGGACAGCAAATAATCGATCATAGCGATCATGTATACACATCGACGTAAGTGAAAGCATATATCTAGCTACTAAGTAACTTATATAGAACATTTGCATATATTAAGTTTATTAGTCAATACACTTAATATGTATTGTGCAAATTGTCTGTACAAAATAAAATAGCTTCTCTAAATATTTGCTATTTGTGATATATATAATGATATATATATAATGAGAAAGTTTTTGATATAAGTTACCGAGGTGAATGGTATGAATCATCGCCCAAATCCAGAAAGCTTTTGAATATGATAATGCTGAGAAGTATTTCACCCTGTACATTGACTGTTGGAAAAATCATGATTCTTTCTTTTCCGAGTTTCAGCGCGGTAAAACTTGATATAATTTTCTTTGACTATATTCATAGACGGTTCTTATATTTTGGACAGTCTTAAATACAATCTTTTTGAGATGTCACAAGCCAGTTATAGAGTGTATTAACATTTTAAGACTTAAGATATGATTTTGAATTAAGAACGGACTATGAATATCTTTATATGTGCTTCTTTTTTAATAGTTTTGATATTTCTTCTTTTTTTGTAGGTTGTACGTGCATCCGTTTCGTATTTCACAGTTTTACGAACTGTACTGTAATCTAAAAATTTCGAAATTTCTCTTCTAAAAAATATAAATTTATTATTAATATTAAAACTATATATAATGCTTTATTATTAACTAATAACAAATCATCTATATTTCTGAGAAAATAATTAAATACGAAAATATACTTATATTTGTATTTTTTTATCTTTTTGGTAAACCATCTCCGTTTTATTTATCTTTAATTAAATATAAAGTATAGAAAATCCTCGATAATAATAATATATAATACAATAGATCTTTAATAAGCTTATGTGTATACTCCGTAAGACTGTTATTTTCTAATGCAGCCGATTTTAAAGCGACTACTTCTTCTAATAGTCTGGTATTAAATCAATTTACGAATACAATTTTGATGCCTCTTTTGTCTTCTTGAATCCACTAAGAAAATATTTTCAGAAATGATTATTTCTCTTCTCTATAATTACGCGATTTCTATAAGATAATCTTGCGATTTTACACTGTGCAGTTTTACTATTTGCAGCAAAACACGTTAGCAAATATCATTCTCATCTGATTCAGAAGTTTTTGACTAAACACAACATTGTCCAACTTCGTCAACCTTCATACAGTTCAGATAAAGCCCATTTTATATCGCTACACTTGATACGTACTAACTAATAACTTTCTATTAAATGATTTTAATTTCGGCGATACATGTAAATATATACGATATTTGTATTTAATTAATCATTTTGATGCATATTGTACCAATTTAGTATATCATTCTTTGAATACATCGCTGAAATTAAAATAATTTAATAGGAAGTTACTAGTATGTGTGCATGATGTAAATTAAGTGCATGATGTAAATTAAGCAATAGTTCCCTGTAATTTTTGATTATTTCCTAAGTTAAAACATTTATAGATTAAAACCGTTGAAGGGCAAAAGATTTGTCGATGTTGAGGAAATAAAGCGAAATGCGACGAGGGAGCTGTTGGCTATCACAAAAAATGACTTCCAGGATTGCTTTCAACAAGTGACATAAGGTCATTGTTTCGGAAGGAAACTTTGAAGACGACGTTCATATCACTCTAGAATAGTCCTTTCTCATGATACAAGCAAAGATCAAATACTTTTGGAACAGATTTCGTATCTTATATGGACTGTGTTCGCTTTAGCCTTCATAATATGCTTTAAGCGTTGTTTTATTCTTGTTATTAAAGGATATTGATACTCACAAGCGCTGTGAACGCATAAAACGAAGCAGCCAGTGTCAATACTCGGATCTGGATTTATATTTCAGGTAAGAAACATAAATATAAGATAAATTTATTAAGATAGTATTCCAAATCTATTATTATAGTTTTTATTATTTTATATACTATCTTCCAAACAAAAATGTTTGAAAAATAAATGTCTCTCTTTAAAATATAGATCCTTTAAAACAATTGTACAATTATACATCATACTTTATCGGCCGATTTAATTATATATAAATAAATATAAATTTCATATAAAGATAAATTTCAGTATCGTCAAAACTAAAAATAATTTTCTATAAAGAGAAGCTATAAAGAACGATATAAGGCGTTAACGTAATTAAAATAATTAATTTTACGTACTTTGATATCATACGCATGCGGCAATAACAATTATTAAATTGTTCTTGGATCAGTGCGCCAACGTAAAATGAATCTTAGCGTACTCTTCAGTGATTTATCTTTTTCAATTGAACTTCTTTCATCTTTATTCTCTCTCTCTCTCTCTCTCTCTCTCTCTCTCTCTCTCTCTCTCTCTATACATCGGGTTATGTTCGGATTTCCATCCGAATGCTCCAGTCGAAGCGAAGAGAATAATTATTAGACAAAAAAAGGAAAAGATAACGAAAAGAAGTCTTTTTTCAAGTTGTCTTTCCAACAAAGCGAAAAGTGTCTAAAAGATGACGAAAAAATGTCTTTTTAAAATTGTCTTTTCGACAAAACTAAAATATGTCTTATAGACATATATCTTTTTGTAATGCCGAAAAGATGATATGAAAAAGATATCTTTCCGTTATTTTTATTACTCATTCACGAGCAGTACGTGAGATCGCCATCAGATAGACATGATGGAATTCAGTTTCTCGTTAAAAATCATACAAGACAAAATAAAAGATGCAGCATTATGAGAAATTTTGCTCGTGTTCTAATGAACTAATAAAAAATATTTTTTTTGAAATCTAGTTTCCAAAGGGGAATATGATAATGACTCTTGCATATAGGATACGGCAAATATTGCAGGAAATGGGAGGTGTATTGTCAGTCATGCAATTTTATTTCGTTTTGTGTAAAATTAAATTTAGATTTGATACAATATAACGTTTAATAATAAAAAACGAAATGTTATTAAACGTGTTATATTGTATCAAAATATAAAAACTAAAAGAAGTATTAAAAACGATTAAAAGATATCCAAAGAAGTCATTCTTTAGTTATCATGGATAAGACTATAAAATGACTAGCAATGCGACATCTATCATATCTTTTAATCATTTTTTCGTCGACTACATTCTTTCATTAAAAGATATCTTTATAACAACTTAGTCATCTTTTAGACATCTTTCAGACATCTTTTAGACGACTTTGTGTTCTCTGGGTTGATTATTCATCCACTTCTTATGGCTTAAAGTTTAAAAACTTATTATAGATTTGCTTTCTGTTTCACGCAACTTTCGGCTTACGAAGATAACGCAATTTAAAAACTGATAATATGTAATTTTATGATTTATTAATTTAGTAGACGTATTTATGCATTTAGAACTCAATAATATCCGATTTTTCTTTAAAATTGTGATTTCAGTATTACCGTCAAAGTTTGATTATTCAACAGAGATGATAACTGCAAAGAAAAAATTGTAATTTTTCTGCAATATATAGAATATTATAGCTTAATAAATATGCATATTTATTTATGGAACATTTATGTAATAAAAAAATTATGACTTTAATAATGTATGAGTGAATATTTATCTTAATAATAGCAAATTAATATCAATTGTCGATAATGTCAGCGTTCTTCAATTATCTTTGGGTCCTTGAGGCCCTTTTTATATCGCCAAAAACTTGCTTACGATTGACAGACTTTAATAATATCTCGTCTCCACCAACATATTGAGTCTGTTTTTTTTGGCTGAATTTTTGCACCAATTCATCTTTCTTCTTTTTCTTTTCAGGAGTAAAGAAGAGGAAAAAAGATGAATTAGTGCAAAAGTTCAGCCAAAAAGAACAGGTCTATTATTTTATCTTGTTTAATATTCAGTAAACAAGGACAAAGTATATATCCTGAATTCCTGAATGCACTCCCATGTTTTTGTCAGGTGTATTCTTCGTTATGGATCGAGTTTCTGAACCGTTAAATTATACATATGCAACAAATGGTATCGTGCTGTATATATTATATATATTCGAAAAGAAAGAAGAAACTACTTGCAGAGATAATATAAGGGAAGATTCTTAGCCCATGTGTTTCAGAAAAAGAAGATATAACGAAGTATATGAAGTAATAGTCAGGAAGATGAATTGATTGATTGAATTGATTGACAAGGAATTTTTCATCTTAAAAGATGTTTCAAGTTGAAGCATAAATCCCATGCTGGACGGTTTTAAGATTGGGTATATAAAAATTAAATTAATAATTAAACTAGCATGCATGTTTAGAGCAGAATCGCAAGACTCGTAACATGTTCTCTGTAAAACTTATTTATAAGAATTTCTGACTAATATCTTAATTTTATGCATAGATTTTATACGTAAGACATACGATTATGTGTAAATATTTACAATACAATTTCTACAATACAATTTCGCGTGCGTGCGTGTGTGGGTGCGTGCGTGCGTGCGTGCGTGCGTGCGTGTGTGTGTGTGTGTGTGTGCGTGCGTGCGTGTGCGTGCGTGCGTGTGGTGTGTGTGTATGTGTGTGTGTGTGTGTGTGTGTGTGTGTGTGTGTGTGTGTGTGTGTGTGTGTGTGTGT